AACGCGCACGCGTACAGTGTTTTTGCGTGCAAGAGTGCGCGCACGTTCCACGCAGCAGTGTGCCCCCACGTACGTCAGCCTGCGCGTTGTGCAGTGGGAAGTGCCGTTGCGCAAGTTGCAGCCAGACTGGAGATTCATAGCTTGGTCTCGGCATCGCTCGGACGTGTGTCATTTTCCTTCGGCGAGGACCATCGCGGAGCACCCTCGACCCTTTGGCGAGAAAACCACGCACGAGACCGACAAAAAAGAAGAGAGAAGGGACGTCCGAGCGATGGCCAGTTGGTGGCATCGGTCCAGCAGTTTCTCATGACATCGCAAGCGCTACGTGCGCAAGCCAAACATGGCGAATTTAACGTCTTCATTTTCTGGAAGCGGCGTGTGTCGCGGCTTATCCCAGCTTTGATGCTTACAGTCGCTAGCATCGCGTGCGCGACCTTGGTAGAGAAGGCTATCACAGGAGGAGCCCCCCCGGGGAGCAGGCCAGCTCATCCTCCGCGGCATGCTGAGCGCGAAGCTCCGCCCTCAGACGCTTTTCTCTTCGCTGCTCGCCCCTCTCTCTCGGACGCCGAGGCCTGCACCGGCGCGGGCCGCCCCCGCAGGTTGTGCAGGCCGTCGGCGGCGCGCCCAGGGCCGAGGGGGGTCCCAGGACACACACAGATGAGTACACACACAAATAGCAGGATCCCCCAGGTTTTCCAGTGTTTTCTGGGCTTTTGTCTTCCCCCCCCCCACTTCCCATGTTTTCCCATGCCTTCGGGGGAATCGACGGTTCATGGTGTCTGTGCGCTTCTTTCCCTCCTGGAAGGGGGGGAACCGAGAGGGGGCAGGCCTCCTCAGAGGGCGGCGGGGCTTCTCAGAAGCCCTTGCGCCTTCAGAGAAGCCGTCTGTGGCTTCGGAGCGGGCTTGCAAGGCTTCTCAGAAGGCGCGAGGGCGGCTTCGAGAAGCCCCGCCGGCTTTGAGAAAGCCTGCCCCCTCTCACTTCCCCCCTGGGCTCGCCGCCGAGGTTCAAGAGGCACAAGCGGGGGGGGGGGAGGGGCATGCACTGTGACAGCAGCAATCACAACCATGCAGAGGCCGAGGCGGGGTGCCAGAAGCAGGGGAGCAGACAGGTCCCAAGGAGGGGTGGTGTGCTGCCGTCCCAGCTGCGACCCCTTAGATTGACACGGAGTTTTTCCCATCGCGTTTCTACGACTTGCCGTGCGCATGCCGCGCTGTGTTCGTTTGTCCGTGCATCTTGCGATTGGGGAAACCCTCGGCGGATTTGTCGATCTTCCCTGCCTGGCTGTTTCCGTGAAGAAAGAAGGGTGACCGCGCTGTCGCCCCCCCCCCATAACGCTGCTGATTCGAGTTGGATATCGACCACATAGTTTCATGGCACCTCGACCAGAATCTACGAGCAGATACGTCGAAGGCTTTTTAGATCTACGAGCATTCTACGTATCTGTTTGTAAATTTCGACGAAACCAATTTCGGGGTGCAGCAATTCTGTCGGCATCCCCCCAACATACTTATACTATGTGTTCGTCGCCCCCCCAGGGGCGACGCTTTCTGGCCACACCGCTCGAGAAACGATGTACTACAAGATGGGTATACTATATGTCCGGGTCGGACGCGCGCCTCCAAGGATAACATGTAGTACTAGTACGTTTTTGTGCATCCCAGCCTACTCGACTGATCCGAGGAGCTCCTCGCATCGGCGCGCAGGGCCCTCCGCGCCCGCCAGGCGGGCTCTGGGCACGCCGACCCGCCCGAGCGCGGGCTCGTGCCCCGCTTCTTTTGCTCTCCGGCCCCGAGGGTAGGAACATCTCGGAGAGGAGGATCGAGGATCGAAAGGGGGAGCGAGGATCGAAAGGAGGATCGAGGATCGAGGAGGCGCATCGAGGATCGAGGCGACGGAGGGGCGTGCTGTCGCTCCCGCAGGCTCCTCCTCATCGCCCTTCCCCACCTCCCCCTCCCTCACCCCCTCTCCTTGAGGAGGGGAAGGAGGAGGAGGAGGAGGAGGAGGAGGAGGAGGAGGAGGAGGAGGAGGAGGAGGAGCAGGAGGAGCAGGAGGAGCAGGAGGAGGAGGAGGAGGAGCAGGATGAGGAAGATGAGGATGAGGAGGAGGAGGAGGAGGAGGGATGAGGAGAGGAGGAGGGAGAGGAGGAGGAGGAGGAGGAGGAGGAGGAGGAGGAGGAGGAGGAGGAGGAGAGGAGGAGCAGGAGGAGCAGGAGGAGCAGGAGGAGGAGGAGGAGGGAGGAGGAGGGAGGAGGAGGAGGAGGAGGAGGAGGAGGAGGAGATGGAGGATGAGGAAGAGGAGGAGGACGAGATGTGCGCGGTCGCCCCCCAGGCTTCTGATCACCTGCTCCGAGGAGCTCCTCGGATGCTGGCAGGACGCCTGGCGACACCCGCCGCGGCCTATTCCTGCGGGGCCGCCGCCGCCGCCGTGCTCGCTGCCCTCCGCGCCGCGTCCGTGCAGAAGGCTGCTACGAACAGTTCGTGTCGCGAAGCAGTCGAGTAGTTGATCGACTACACATTTCATTTCCCCCAATCTATTGCCGTCGAATCAACGAAACAAACACATGATGCTCCGTAGATCGTCAGAGCATTCGACGTCCGTCTTTTTCAAACGTTCGACGGAACAAGCAGTTTTTGAGAAAGTCAGCTCTGTAGTCAATCTCCTACTCGAAGCATCGGGGATCGACTGTCGATGTTTAGTCGTAGACGTGAATACCCCTTGGCCGCTTCTCGCCCGCCAGGTTTAATGCAAGCCTCGCGTGCCTCCGCAACGCGGCGGCTCAAGTCCGAGAGGCCCCCGCGCGGCCGGCCTCGGATGGAAGGCGGGCCGCCCTCGCTGTGGGCGACGCTGGTGACCGCCTGGAGCGCGACTCTGGGCGCCTGCTGGTCCTGGGGCTGGTCGACGGCCCCCGCGGCGCCTGCCTGGCTGCCGCCCTCGCCTCCTCCGCGCCGACGCGGAGCTGCGTCGGATCATCGACCTCCAGGCGGAGGTCTGGGCGCTGCGGTGCCTGCTGCTGGCTGGGCTGCTGGTGCTCGGCCTCACCGCCTCCGGCGCGGGCGCGCTGGGCTTCCTGGCCGGGGCTTGCCGGCGCTGCCCCTGCGGCTCGCGCGGGCGGGCGTCCCACGGGGGTCCCCCAGGCGGGGCGCCCGAGCGCGCCGCTGCGCCCTTGGTGGCGGTGACTGGAGGCGGCGGCCCTTCGACGCCGAGCCGACGCCATGGCTGACGTCCTCACGCTGGACATCGCGGACCCCCAGATCCTGGTGCGGTACGAGAACGTCCCGCACGGCTTCTATTGGCACCACCGCGTGCTTTTGTTCAGGGTGAGCGAAGACATCTGGATCTGCCTCATCCCCGACCACGACCTGGTCCGCATCAAGCTGCTGGATGTGAGGCACGAGGTGCTCGAGAGGAGGGCTCCCTTCCCCGCGCACCTGGCGAACCAGGTGTACGCCCACGACCCGATCGCCGGGGCAGCGCTGGCCGCCTTCCGTCGCCGCGCGAAGCTGCAGGGACAGCTGCTCGGCGTCGGCCAGGTAGACGCCATCGAGCGGATGATCTGGGTGGTGGCCGAGCCGCGCTCCGAGCGCTTCGGCGAGATCGTCGACGCTGCGGTCATGGATGATGAGAACCGCGGCACAGGCTTCGACCAGAAGGGCGTGGCCGTCTTGGACGGGGGGGAGGTCTTCGTGCAGAAGATCGCGGCGAGCAGCCTGGCGGACTTCTAGAGGGACGCGAAGGCGGACCTCGGCGATGTGCGCGCGCTGGGTGACCACCACGACGAGGCCGGCTTGAGGAGCTTGCGCTTGTCGGAGGCCGTCGCGTTGATGCGAGACACCGACCAGCCGAATTTTCCTCTGGCGGGCGTCAGGGGCGTGAAGGAGTTCTTGGATAGCGTCGCCGCTGGGCCTGGCAACATGACGTCGTACCAGGCCTAGTGGGAGCGGCTCAGCGGGGTCGGCGAGGGCTCGGCGGTCAACCACGTGCATCGGAACCTGTGCGAGGTGATCCGCCTCATGCACTCGTGGGATCAAGTGGATCTCTCCATGCTGGCCTCCGCCGAGTTGTTGGTGCGCTGGATGATCCCGACGGAGATTGCGGTAGAGCGCAACCCGCGCCATCCAGACTACAGCGGCCTCGACATCGTGATCTCCGCGCCTGTGAACGCCGTGGGCCGCGCCTCCATCTCGAGGTTCAACACCTGGGTCACGGACAGGCTCGAGGAGCGGGCGACGATCTGGAAGCAGGAGCGGCTCTACCGTGAGGAGCAGAAGCAGGTGCGCAAGGGCGACGGCAAGGGCGGCGACAACACTGAGCTCGCCAACCCGAAGAGGCGCCCGAAGAAGGCGAAGGGAGGAGCGGCCGGCGCTGGTGGCGGCGCCGGCGAGGAGGGATGACGCCCCTCGGGGCTGCGGGGGCGCCGGCGCTGGCAGCCCGGGCGCCGATCGAGCCCCCCCCGCAGCCGACATCTACGAGGGCTTGCCGCCTCCAGCCCAGGAGGCATCAGGTCGCGCGATCGACGGCATGGAGACCCTTTCCCGCTGCCCTGCGATCCTGCTGGCCTCGGCGCTGCATGCGACGCCGCGCGGCTTCGGCAAGTTTTTGACTCGGTTCGGGCCCTGGACCAGCTTGCTGCCGCCAACCTGAATTCACGTCGCGCCCAGGGGCACGACTTACCACCTGAGGGCCACCTCCGGCCCACCGCCGTGCAGCGCTGGGTGCTCCAGAACGTCGCGCGGCGGGTCGAGGCGTATGGGGCTTGCCCAACTGACCTTACAGAGGAATCATCCCTGGCGGAGATCCTCGACTCAAGAGACCACTGCGGCATGGAGCCCAAGAACTTGGCCAGCTTCGACTTCGACAAGGTCAAGATCCTTCACAGGAAGGTCCACGTTCGACCAATTCGTCGAGAGCTTCCTCCTGCGGCGCTTGGCTACATCAGGCACGCGTCCGATCTGATCGAGAGGGGCGAGGCGGAGCTTGAAAAGGACCGAGCCGAAGGGGAGGGCTTCTCGCCTTACTGGGATCCCCGACTTCGGCGCTCGCGAGATCTACGGAAGCGGCTGTGCCAGCGCTTGAGCCAGCAGGGCCTGCTGACCTGGCGCCGGCTGCTGAAGGGGCGCGCGGGCATCTTCGTGGTTAAGAAGGAAGATGGGCTTCAGAGGCTAATCATCGACGCCCGAGCGGCGAACAGAGCACATCGGCTACCGCCAACTACACGGATCGGCTCGTCACGCTGCATGGCCGACCTGGATCTCTCCGACCCCCGCTTGAAGGCTTCTGGCTTCGGTGGCGTGGGCTCTGGGACCGCCGCTAGTCCTGCTGGGCTGGAGGGCGACGTCGGGGACTGCTTCTACAACTTCGCGATCCCCGAGCTCGCCTCCTGGTTCGGCTTCGAGGACCGCTTCGACACCGCTGAGCTGGAGAGCATGGGATGCCGATCGGCTACGATCTGGGACGACGCCGAGGGGGCCGAGACCAAGGTCGTGGACGGGGAGGTGCTCTACCCCTGCATGGCCGCCGTGTGCATGGGCTGGTCGTGGGCGCTGTACTTCGCCAGTGAGGCCGTCACCTACCGAGTTGAGAAGACCCTCGATGACTGCGCCGACCAGATCATGCGAGAGATGCAGCCCGCACCAGTTTTGAGGCCTGGCAAGTGCGTTACAGGCGTGTACGTTGACAACGTGCAGGTGATCGGGGGCTGCGAAGGCGATGCAGTAAGACAGATGACAGAGATTGAGAAGAGTTTTTGCGAAGATAACATACCTTTTGACGTCGAGTCAGGCGGCGGTCTTGAGATGCAGACGCTTGGCTTGGTGTACCACTGGCGAGAACGACGACTTCGACATGTAGCTCGGCGTGTCTGGCGTGCCTACTTAGCTGGCCATGCCCTCCTGCGACGGCGTAAGCTGCGCGGACATTCCCTACAGTGTTGGCTCGGCCACGTGGTGGACCTGAACCAGCTCTGCCCCGAGGCGATGTCCGCTCTGAATGCGTGCTGCCGCTTCATCGAGGAGTCCCTGGAGGCGCCGAAGCGGGTGTGGCCGTCCGTGAAGTCGGAGATCCGCTTCGCGATGAACCTGCTGTTCTTGATGGAGGTCGACCTCGGCGCCACCTACTCCGACCAGGTCTACTGCGGCGATTCCTCTGGCCGCGGCTACGCTCTGCACGTGACGAAGGGCGAGCCCGGGGAGATCCGCGAGGCTTGGAGATGGCGAGAGCGCTGGCGATATCGGGACGTCCCCTCGCTGGAGGGCCAGGTTAACGAGGGCCTGGGCTACGTGCGGGGCCACGCGCCGGGCGTGGCGGCGGGCCCGCTGACCGCCTTCGGCCAGGACCTCCGGAGCCGGGCCGAGGCGCGCCCCAGGTCGCTGGCCCACGCTGCGCCCGCCAAGAGGGCCCGCGTCGGGGTGGCGCTCGACTCGGGGATCCCCGCTTTGGCCGATGGCTGGACCATGCGTCGGCGCTACCACTTGGTGGCAGCCGACCGCTGGCGCTGACAGGACGAGCACATCAACTTGAAGGAGGCGCGAGTGGCCCTGATGGGGCTGCGAATGCACTGCCGCTCTGTCAGGTTGCTGGGTTCGAAGCTGCTCACGCTCAGCGACAGCCAGGTCACCGTGGGGGCCTTCGAGAAGGGCCGCTCTGGCGCGGGCCTGCAGGCACTGTGCCGGCGCGCGGCCGCCTACCGCCTGGGGGGCCAGATCACGTGGCGGCTCCGCTACATCGAGACGGATCGGAACCCGAGCGACCTCGACTCGCGCCAGTGGGGCGCCGAGCTGCCCGCCAAGCAGAGCCCAGCGCTGGAGCAGCCGCCCCCGGCATTTGCGGCGGCGCAGGCCCATTATCCTAGTGAAATAATAGGGTCGGCCCCAGAATGGCCTGCAGTGACCGATGCGACCATTTTGGGCCGGACCCTGTGTTTTGTGGGTCGAAACGCGCATCCGCATCGCAGCGACCGCGGGTCGCGCCAGTGGGATATCAAGGGGCCCAGTTCGCAGAGCCCGACGCGGAAGCGGCAGCGCTGTCCAGCTGGGCGAGTTGCTCCTGATGAACCTTGCGGTCCTCGCGCCGCTCGCGGCGCAGGTGACGCGCGGGCCGAGGGGCCCGCTGCCGCCGCCGCCGCTGGAGCTTGCGAGGGAGAGCGGACTGAACCATCCTCTCCCTTGTTATCGTCTTCGTCAGCGTCTTCTTCATCTGTCTGTTTTTCGGAAATTCAGAACGAGCCTTGTCAATCAGTTTTTTGCCTGGAGCTATTCGGTGGTCTCGGACAGCTGACTCGAGCTTGCAGGAAGATTGGACTCCCCTTTGCAGATCCCGTGGACATCAAGGATGGTTGCGAGTTTGACTTGTCTCGACGGAGCACGCAAAACTTTATCTTGGATTTGGCCCGGAGAGGCCGTCTGGTTTATGTGCATCTTGGGACGCCTTGTCAAGTCTGGAGTATCGCACGACGGGGAATTAAGAACCACGCGTGGGCACGAGCTAGGGAACGTCTTGGAGTAGAGTTCGCGCTGTTTTCGTCCACATTATGTCACATATTATCTCGTCGTGGGTGTTACTGGAGTGTGGAGAATCCAAGAACTCCGAGGCTGTGGAACTTCGACCCTATCGCTCGGCTTCGTGGGCTCCCGAACGTCATAGAGGTCAGCTTCGATATGAGCATGTGCGGTACGGCCTATCGAAAACCGACTCGCATACTGACGAACGTTGAGGCCCTGCGGGCCCTCGGTGATAAACTTCGCATACCGCGCAAGCGCGCTATCCTGCTGCACGGGCACCTCGCGTCTCAGGCTGCTGCCTATCCGTTCGCATTGGGCTCTTGCTGGGCAGGCATCTTGAGTGCCGCGCTCCCCAGAGCGGCGCTCGCGAGCGCGCGGGATTTCGACCCGCGTGAGATCCGTCATGGCCTCCTCCGGGCCGCGGGCCGTCAGCCGAAGACTGGAGGAGAGGCGATTCGCGGTGAGGACGGCGAGCGGCCCGAGGCCAGCTGCCAGGCCGCCGATGCGTACCTCAGCGGGGACCCCTTCGTCCAGTTCGGCCAGGACAAGCTCCTGCGACGCTGGAGGGCCCACCCGCGCTGGCAGGCAGCGGCCGCCCGGCAAGGGCCGCCCTCGCCAGCCGTCGGCGCCGCGCCGAGTGGGGGCCATCCGCGTCCAGAGGCGCGACTCGCTGGTCATGGCGACGGTCACGAACGCGACGCTCGAGCGGTGCGTGGCCGCCGTGCACGAGTTCGAGATCTACGCGAAGGCCAGGAAGCTCGACCTGCAGCCGCTGAGCCGCCTGGGCGACAGCATGGCCCAGTACTTCGTGGATCTGTACGACGACGGCTTTGGAGTCTGGGAGGGCCGGAACACCCTGTACGGTTACAGGCTCCTGCGGCTCAAGACGACGGGGGAGGTGGACCTTCCGAAGGCGCTGGCCTCGCTGAAGGGCTGGGCCAAGCGGTCGCCAGGCCGGATGCGCCTGCCGCTGCCCGACATCGTCGTGGGCGACATCGCGCTGGACCTGGTGGAGCACGACATGCCCCTCATGGGCGCCGCGGTGGAGCTGCAGACGGACGCCTACTTGAGGCCCTCGGAGGTTGACGAGCTCAGGCAGGGCCAGATCCTGCCGCCCGCGCCAGCCGCGAGGCTCGGCGCGCACTATGGCATCGTCATCGCGCCCTCGGAGTGGAACGAGGTCACAAAGACGGGAGGCCAGGACGACAGCCTGCTGGTCGGCGACGCGGCACGCCCCTGGCTGACGAGCGTGCTGCGGCTCCTCCGTCAGCCCAAGGCGCCAGACTCCCTCCAGATCTTCGACTTCTCCTTGGCGGAGTACGAGCGGGAGGTCAAAAAGAGCGCCGACCGCCTGGGCTACTCGCCCCTGGGCGTGTGCCCGCGCGTCTTCAGGCACTCAGGGGCCTCGAACGACAAGGCGCACAACAGGGGGACTTTGAAGGAGGTCCAGAAGCGCGGCCGATGGGCATCGTCCGCTTCGGTAGCCCGCTATGAGAAAGGCGCCCTCATTCTCCAGCAGTTGCGGGAGGTCCCACTGCAGAAGCAGAAACTGGCGGCGAGCAGGAGCAACAAGCTGCCGCAGCTTCTCTTGGATCGCCTGCGCAAGCGCTAGCCGGGCCACCAGTACATGTTACGGGTACGGGCAGAAAGAGACAGGTATCCACTCGTCTCCGATGTTTGGTCTCGTGCTGCAGGCCTGAACTACTTCAATGGACGATTGTGTCAGAGGTGATCGATAAATGAGTCCATTCATATCTTACAGCTTTGCTGAGATGTGCACGTCTGGGCGAGATATTTAGGCCATCCTGGGGTGTGTTTAGTCGTAGACGTGAATGCCCCTTGGCCCCTTCTCGCCCGCCAGGTTTAATGCAAGCCTCGCGTGCCTCCGCAACGCGGCGGCTCAAGTCCGCCCACCCGCTGCCACCCGCGAGCTTCTTTGCATGTCGCTCGCAATTCGGATGCATTCTCCCGCTGGGCAGAAAGAGACAGGTATCCACTCGTCTCCGATGTTTGGTCTCGTGCTGCAGGCCTGAGCTACTTCAATGGACGATTGTGTCAGAGGTGATCGATCAATGAGTCCATTCGTATCTTACAGCTTTGCTGAGATGTGCACGTCTGGGCGAGATATTTAGGCCATCCTGGGGTGTCCATATTTCTGCTGCTGCCCCCCCCACTCTGGCCACCAGGGGGGGCTACCAGGGGGGTGTGGGGGGGGCAAGGCATGGCTAAAAACTTAGCGTGCAGAGAACTGCCGGCTGTTATCCGTGCCTCCACTTCGCCCCCGTAGAGTTTTTTCATGAGCAGGGGTATGCATCCCACGTCGACGGGCTAAAGCAGGAGTGGGCTTCAGATGCGGAAGATACGTCGGTACTGCTACCTTTCTCTTGTCGCCACGGCTGGATTCGCCTCGAAAGTCTGGTCATGACGCACCTATCCGTGGAGTAGCGGTGTAGGTATATGTTTGGTTTTCTGAAAGGCTGGTCTTTCGCATGGCGCGAGGGGGAGAGTCGCTTCAGCCCGTGGGCGAACCGCAGATTCGTATCCGCGGCCTCGCGGAACAGGCCCCTGAGCCGCGACCCCGCGATATGGGGCGTCTTTTGCTGATGCCCCGCGCGGAACGTATCCGCGCGGCCGCGCATCCGCAGGGCCGCGCCCCAGAATCCAGACCGCGAGGGCGCGGATACGCACATGGTCGCCGCTCGTGGGAGGGGGGGGGGGTAGCCTTACCTTCGCCGATCAACGATCCAGGCGGCTGGACGGACGGCGGGGGCAGGCTTCGGAATCCGCCGAGCACGTGGCGAGGCCAGAAGCCTGCTCCCGTCCCCCTTCGGTTCAGGAGGGCCGAGGGCCGGCGGGGGGCGGGGTCCGGACGGCGCCACCCGAGGGAGAGGTGGGGGGGGGGATCGCGTCGGCGGGTGGGCTCGGTGCGCGCGGGGGGGAGGAGGCCAGAACGGGCCCTGGGGGGCGGGCGGGCGTGGGGGCGGTGCTGGCAGGCGGCGCGCGCGCCTCGGCTCCCGCACGAGGGGAGCGGCGAGGTGCAGGTGGAGTCCCCTTGGGGCTGTCCTGGGGCCCCGATGGGGAGACGGGTGCAGGGGTCAGCATCTGTTGGCCGAGGTCCATCCCCATCGCCATCCCGATACCCACCACCCCACCATCCCAGTTGGGGATGTGCCCTTCGAAACTCAACTTGAGCAGCCTATATCCCTGCCCAGGGGGGGAAATGGGTCAGTGGGGTCCAGGGCAATGGGTGCAGGGGTGGGCTGATGGGGGGGGCGACGAACGCCGACGAGCGACGACAATTGACGGCCCCGAGGTCTAGAACTTTTCTGTCACCTCCCAGGCCCGCGGATCCCTTAACCATACTCGTTGCATAACGTTATTTGTTTCCCTACAGTCCTGCGTTGGATCCTCGCTTTAAATGGAACGCTGGGGTCTCCACTTTCCTCCTTCCCACCTGGCTCGTATCTGCCTGCCAGCCTGTCTCCTACGTTGCCGTCCTCCGTGAGCTCGCCATGCCTGCGGGTGCGCGAACTGCGAAGCAGTCGCCGTTTTCGAGGGCTGCTGGGGGGTCCAGCGGAGTGACGTCTTGCAGCATATTCATGTTAGATCCCGCCATACCTCGGGTGTGCGAACTGCGAAGCTGTCGGCTCTCTCGAGGGCTCCTTGGGCGTTCAGCGTAGTGACGTCTTACCGCACGACCTCGCTATCCTCGGAGGTCTGCGAACTGCGAAGCGGTCGGCACTGTCGAGGGCTGCTGGGGGGGCCAGCGGAGTGACATCCAACCGCAGATCCAGATCAGATCCCGCCACACCTCGGCTGTGTGATCTGCGACGCTGTCGGCACTTTCGGGGGCTGCGGCGGGGGGGGGCCTCTGGAAGGCGGAACAAGGGGAGGAGGTGTGGGTTGGTCAGGCTGGGGTGGCCAAGCCCCCCCCCCCTTTGAAGGGCCCCGCTGGCGCGCTCTCGCCTGGCTCTAGAGCGCAGCTGTTCACCATGGTTGAGCCATCCAATGTATTTCACTCTGCCTTGATCGATCGTAGATGTTACTCATCTTGGGAAAACATATCTCGCTCCAAAGCGTTTCAGAGCGCTCTGGAATGGCCGCGGCTCCCGATGCATCATCCTGAGCCGCCAGTTCTCATAGGTTCCCGAAGACCCCATCCCGGTCCTATCTTCATGGGAGGGCGAGGATGAGGCTCAGGCGAGGACGGGGACAAGGGGGGGTGAGGCGGGGGTGGAGTAGAGGGGCGAGCGGGTTTTAGTTTCGTTTCAGATTTGAAGGGCGAGGGCTGGGGCGACCCATACAGTTTTTTGATTCGCGGGTCGAGAGCGCACCTCTTCCGGTCGAAGCTAAGCGGGCCGCGCGAAGCTTGAATTAACCAGAGAAGGGGGAGGAAAAGGGGGGGCGCAGCCTCAGAACGAGGCCGGGAGGAGGCAAAGCCTCGGGATCAGGCGGTGCCGTAGTCGACGGCGACCCATACAGCCACCGTGGTTTTCTTTTGCACCGCGGGCCCCCCTGAGGTCTAGACTCCCTCCCCGTGACCAGCTTTTGACCCCAGGTCGTCTCTGAACGGCCCCGGGACTGGATGAGGGCCCCCAGAGGCCAGAAAACGCTAAGAATCCTCTTTCCTTTTGTGCGCTGAAGCGCGATATGGTGGTGTGGAGGGCCGATGGGTTAGGGGGCAACTTCTGGGAGGTCACATTCAGCATCGGCGCCAGTGGTCGAAATCTGGCCTGATTAGGCATGCTCCCGCCTGTTTCCGCTCAGTCCCGCTTACTCTGGCCTAGTCGGGCTTAATCCTCGGCGTGCTCCCAGCCTGATCCGTCTCAACGGCCCCCCAACCAGGCCTAATAGTTCCAGACATGCGGTGTGCTGTTTTTTTTGATTTTTTTTTCTCTTAAAGATTGGGGGGGGTTGATGCGGGCGGACGAGTCCGCTCCTGGGCAGAGCGTGCGCGGTGCTCGCCTGCGGACCTGACAGCCCTCAGCCCCTGGGGAGAAGGAGGAGGAGGAGAATGGTGATGATAATGATGAATATGCTGCTGCTGATGATGCTGCTGCTGCTGATGATGATACTGCTGAGGATTATGATGATGTTGATGAGATGATGCTGCTTATGATGATGCTGATGCCGATGCTGCTGATGATGCTGCTGGTGATGATGCTGCTGATGATGATGCTGATGCTGATGATGATGTTGATTCTGATGGTAATGATGATGAAGCTAATGATGCTGCTGCTGATGATGACGATGATGACGATGATGCTGATGATGCTGATGCTGATGCTGATGCTGCTGATGCTGATGATGATGCTGATCGGATTATGGTGTTGATGATGATGCTGATGATGATGCTGATGATGCTGGCGATGCCGATGATCCGGATAAGCTGCTGACGATGATTTTGCTGCTGGCTGCTGTTGATGATGATCATGCTGGTTACGATGATGCTGTTGCTGTTGTTGCTGATTATGATAATGCTGCTGCTGATGCTGCTGACGATGATGATGAGGATGATGCTGACGATGATGCTGATGCTGCTGCTGATGACGAAGAATCTGATATTTATGACGATGATTATGATGATGATGCTGATGCTGATTATGATGATGCTGATGCTGATGATACTGCTGCTGATGCTGATGACGATGATGACGATGCTGCTGCTGATGATGATAATGCTGATGCTGTTGCTGATGCCGATGAAGATGCTGATGACGACGATGATGTCCATGCTGATCATGATGCTGATGATGATGCTGATGGTGATGATGATAATGATGGAAATGATGCTGCTGCTGATGATGAGATGATGCTGCTGCCGATGATGATGCTGATGCTGATGCTGCTGATGCTTATGCTGGTGGCGATGCTGCTGCTGCTGCTGATGACGAATATGCTGCTTATGCTGATGCTGCTGATGACGATGATGCTCATGCCGATTATGCTGATGCTGAAACTGATGATGATGATGATGATGCTGATGCCGCTGCTGCTGATGATGATCATGATGATGACGACGATGCTGATGATGCTGATGATGATGCTGCTGATGATGCTGATGCTGGTGACGATGCTGATGCTGATGCCGCTGATGCTGCTGATGCTGATAATGACGATGCTGATGATGATGAGGATCATGTCGCTGATGATGATGATGATGATGATGATGATGATGATGATGATGATGGTGTTGTTGATGATGGTGATGCTGATGATGATGGTGCAGATGATAATTATGATGATTATGATGATGCTGACGATGGTGATGTCGATGCTGATGATGCTGCTGACGATGATGATCATGCTGATTATGATGATGCTGATGCTGATGATGATGAGGATGATGCTGTTGATGCTGATGCTGACGATGCTGATGATGATGCTGTTGTTGATGCTGATGATGCTCATGAGGATGCTGATGCTGCGACTGATGATGATGTTGATGATGATGATGATAATGATGATGACGCTGACGATGATGATGATGCTGAGGATGCTGATGCTGATGATGATGATGCTGATGATGATGATAATGATGATGATGACGGTGATGATGATGGTAGTGGTGGTGCGATGATGCAGCTGCTGATGATGCTGATGCTGATGCTGCTCATGATGATGATGGTTCTGATGATGCTGATGCCGCTGCTGCTGATGATGATTAGGATAATGAGGATGCTGATGACGATGTTGATGCTGATGATGCTGATACACATGAGGATGCTGATGATGTTGACGATGCTGATGATGATGGATAGAATGATGATGATGATGACGATGATGACGATGATGATGATGATGATGATGATGATGATGATGATGATGATGATGATGATGATGATGATGATGATGATGATGATGATGATGATGCTGATGATGATGATGATGATGATCATGATGACGATACTGATGCTGACCATGATGCTGGCGTCGTCGACGATTATGATGTTGATGCTGATGGTGATACTGATGATGATGAGGATGATGATGATGATGATGATGATGGTGATGATGATGATGATAATGATGATGATGATGATGATGATGATGAGGATGTTGATGATGATGCCGATGATGCTGATGATGCTTTTGATGCTCATGCTGCTGATCATTGTGCTGATGATGCTGCCGATGATGCTGATGATGCTGCTGCTGATGATGATGCTACTGCTGATGACACTGATGATGATGCTGCTGTTGATCATGATGCTGGTTATTATGATGGTGTTGTTGGTGCTGATGATGATAATGTTACTGATGATGCTGCTGATGATGATGATGCCGATGCCGATGATGTTGATGATGCTGCTGATGATGCTGTTGATGATGCTGATGATGCTGCTGCTGATGATGATGATGATGATGATGATGATGCTGACGATGATGATGATGATGCTGACGTTGATGCTGATTATGATGATGACGATGATGATGATGATGTTGATATTGATGCTGATGCTGATGATGCTGATGCTGATGCTGATGCTGAGGATGCTGATA